GCGGCTGGGAGAATGGGTTTCTCAAGAATGGGTTCCAAGAATTGGATCCTCAAGAATTGACTCAATAAACGACAATAACTCCCACGTCTTAACGTTTGCTCGTTTCTTAACGTTTTCTTTGCTTTTCTTTCCTTTTCTTTGCTTTTCTTTTCTTCAAAAGTGATTTAAACGAGTTTTTTTCAATAGAATTTTGACTTCTGATAAGAAATTGATTAGCTATGAGAGTGTAAAACGAATTCGATTGCATTACATTGCAATGTAAGGGGAAACCGTGGTCGAGTGCGCGCGCGGCGCCCCGTCCCATTGCCATTAGCGGCCTAACATCTGAGCTCAAAAATCTTGGCTTTGGTCTCTTCAATTGAAATGTTCTTGGTATCAATAGATTCGGCAAGTCTTTCTCTATCGATTGGTACAAAAACTATTTGAATTGGACAGCTGAACACCGAGATAATGGAGCTTAAAGTTAGGTGGGCGCGAGACGATTAAGGCAGGCGCGCGACGATTAAGGCAGGCGCACGACGCTTAAGGCAGGCGCGCGACGATTAAGGCAGGCGCGCGACGATTAAGGGCGCGACGATTAAGGGCACGACGATTAAGGCAGGCGCGCGACGCTTAAGGGCGCGACGCTTAAGGCAGGCGCGCGACGATTAAGGGCGTGACGATTAAGGCAGGCGCGCGACGCTTAAGGGCGCGACGATTAAGGCAGGCGCGCGACGATTAAGGGCGCGACGATTAAGGCAGGCGCGCGACGCTTAAGGCAGGCGCGCGACGCTTAAGGCAGGCGCGCGACGCTTAAGGCAGGCGCGCGACGATTAAGGCAGGCGCGCGACGATTAAGGCAGGCGCGCAACGATTAAGGCAGACGCGCGACGATTAAGGGCGCGACGATTAAGGCAGGCGCGCGACGATTAAGGCAGGCGCGCGACGATTAAGGGCGCGACGATTAAGGGCGCGACGCTTAAGGCAGGCGCGCGACGCTTAAGGGCGCGACGCTTAAGGCAGGCGCGCGACGATTAAGGGCGTGACGATTAAGGCAGGCGCGCGACGATTAAGGGCGCGACGATTAAGGGCGCGACGATTAAGGGCGCGACGATTAAGGGCGCGACGATTAAGGGCGCGACGCTTAAGGCAGGCGCGCGACGCTTAAGGGCGCGACGATTAAGGCAGGCGCGCGACGATTAAGGGCGCGACGATTAAGGGCGCGACGCTTAAGGCAGGCGCGCGACGCTTAAGGCAGGCGCGCGACGCTTAAGGCAGGCGCGCGACGCTTAAGGCAGGCGCGCGACGATTAAGGGCGCGACGATTAAGGGCGCGACGATTAAGGGCGCGACGCTTAAGGCAGGCGCGCGACGCTTAAGGCAGGCGCGCGACGCTTAAGGCAGGCGCGCGACGCTTAAGGCAGGCGCGCGACGATTAAGGGCGCGACGATTAAGGGCGCGACGATTAAGGGCGCGACGCTTAAGGCAGGCGCGCGACGCTTAAGGCAGGCGCGCGACGCTTAAGGCAGGCGCGCGACGCTTAAGGCGCGCGACGTCAATCCCGCGCCAAAGTCTAGAGTTGTTGGTTCGGCTCTCCCGCGCACTTGAGAATTTGGGAGTCCAGGTATTACTCAATTTGGGAGTCCAGGTTACTCAATTGACCTTAAAGCTGAGATTCATGAATCCTATATTGATAGTGGAAAGGATTGATGCATTTTGAGTTGTTGAAATCTAAAGAAACAGTTTCTATCGACCTCTACACAAAGCGATTAACAGCTTTGAAGCTTTGTTGACAAAGCTTTGAAGAAATTGAGCCTCAAATCGTTGAGAGTCACTTCAAAAGCTTCACTTCAAGCTTCACTGACTACTTTACATTCAAAACTCGAGTTTTTTTTGGGAATGGTAAACGTGTTTTGCGTGCGATGAGAACAAGACATCGATAATAATGACGAAAACGAATGACGAACCTAAAGAAACAGTTTTTATCGACCTCTGCACAAAGCGATTAACAAGAGTTGGACTGAAACTTTTTCTTTCGTCTTTTTGTTTATCGTCTTTTGTTAAATAAGTTATCACCCAAAAACCATTTCATTGTTGCCAATCTAATGTTTGTAAGCATCCCCAGCATTCTTCCTGAGCATGTAAGCATCCCAAGGATGATTCCTGAGCATGTAAGCATCCCCGGCATTCTTCCTGAGCATGTAAGCATCCCAAGGATGATTCCTGAGCATGTAAGCATCCCCAGTATTCTTCCTGAGCATGTAAGCATCCCCGGCATTCTTCCTGAGCATGTAAGCATCCCAAGGATGATTCCTGAGCATGTAAGCATCCCCAGCATTCGTCCTGAGCATGTAAGCATCCCCAGCATGCTTCCTGAGCTCTGTTTTGCATTGTTTCTGTATCTCTCGCTTCCAGGGTGGTCCTTGGGTTCCTAGACTTTTCCCTGAACAACTTGAACAGAACTTTTCAGGGTAGATCAAGAGATTAGGATCTGTAGATCTGTAGATCTGTAGCTTTGACGATTTGAGCCCCAATTTCTGTGGATCTGTAGATCTGTAGGACAGGATTTGTAGAGCTATAGACTAGGATCTGTAGATATCTAGATCGGTATCTAGATTTAAGTAACCTGATTACTTTAAACATCGAACATGACTCTTTTAAACAAATCAGTGTTTTAACAATTCTTTTAGCCGATCCACGTCCCTTCAGCTCCATATGCTGCAATGGTGCCTCCAGGATCTGTAGACCAGGATCTGTAGACTAGGATCTATAGACTAGGATCTATAGACTAGTATCTATAGTCCAGTTTCTATAGACCAGGATCCATAGGCCAGGATCTGTAGACCTCCAGGCAAAACCCTATCCCCTTCCTGACTCGACTTTTCAAAGAAAAACCCTTCCCCTCCTCTTTCAAGCTTACTACACGTGGATTTTGTTTTCCGTTTTCTTTTCAGAAAAAAGGAAACCCGGTCATTGAGTGAGGTAATTGCTCGTTTCTTTGCTGATGTGAAGAAGAAGAGGTAGAAGAAGAGGAAGAAGAAGAGGAAGAAGAAGAGGAAGAAGAAGGGGAAGAAGAAGAGGAAGAAGAAGAGGAAGAAGAGGAAGAAGAAGAGGAAGAAGAAGGGCAAGAAGAAGAGGGAGAAGAAGAGGAAGAAGAAGAGGAAGAAGAAGGGGAAGAAGAAGAGGGAAGAAGAAGAGGAAGAAGAGGAAGAAGAAGAGGAAGAAGAAGGGCAAGAAGAAGAGGGAGAAGAAGAGGAAGAAGAAGAGGAAGAAGAATAGATAGAAGAAGAGGAAAGAAGAAGGGAAGAAGAAGAGAGGAAGAGGAAGAAAGGTCAAAAATCGGGAATATTTCAAAGAACTAGGTGAAAGAGCATTCAAATCGAGATATTAGATTCGATTTTTTAGTTTACTATGTTTAGTTTATTCTAAAAGTGTACAGTATTTCACAGAAATTGTGTTAAATTTCATTTTCTTTCCATTTTCAATTTAATTTCTTAATTTTTGATGGGTTTTGTTGACTTTTCTTTGGTTTTAACATTAAAAACTTATTCAAATCTAGTCTAAAACCGACAAAAAAGTCCAAAAATCAACACTTTTCAACGAATTCTTCTTTCCTCTCGAATCCACGTGATTGAAAAAGCAAAGATTTTAAAAAAAAAGTGACGTCATCAAGGAAATATTGGTTGCAAAAAGGAAAGGAAAAGTGTTTTCGCTATTTTTCTTTTTTTTTTTTCTTTTCCGAATGACAAATGGTGCTTTGTGAGGGAAAGAAAAAGAGATGCGGAGGGAAAATGACGTAAAATAGAGGGAAAAGGGGAAAGAAAGGAGAGCAAAGCATTTTTTGGAGATCACGTCAAGGAGTGAGCTGGAAAAGGGAGGGGTTGCGGGTTGAGAGTGAGCTGAGGTCAGCCTGGGGTCACCCGTAGGTTCCATCAAAAATATCGAGCAGGATGTGGAGGTTCGTGGAGGCTTATGGAGGTCCATGGAGACTTATGGAGGCCCATGGAGGCTTATGGAGGCTTATGGAGGCTTATGAAGGCTGGTGAAGGCTTATGGAGGCTCATGGAGGCTTATGGAGGCTTATGGAGGCTCGTGAAGGCTTATGGAGGCCCATGGAGGTTCGTGGAGGCTCATAGAGGCTCGTGGAGGCCTATGGAGGTCCATGGAGGCTCGTGGAGGCCTATGGAGGTCCATGGAGGCTCATAGAGGCTCGTGGAGGCTCGTCAAGGCTCATGGAGGCTCGTGGAGGCCTATGGAGGTCCATGGAGGCTCATAGAGGCTCGTGGAGGCTCGTCAAGGCTCATGGAGGTTCGTGGAGGCTTATGGAGGCTCGTGGAGGCCTATGGAGGCTCGTGAAGGCCTATGGAGGCTCGTGGAGGCCTATGGAGGCTCGTGGAGGCTTATGGAGGCTCGTGGAGGCTTATGGAGGCTTATGGAGATCCATGGAGACTTATGGAGACTTATGGAGGCTTATGGAGGCTCATGGAAGCTTATGGAGGCTCACGGAGGCTCATGAAGCGAAGTGAAGCGGGTCAGGGGTCAGGCTAGGATTCAGTGGAGTGTAATTAAACTTAATGTCAATCCTAACAAGTTGCGAGCTCTATGTGGAAGAGGGAATTTTCAGGAGATCAGGGAACTTTGAAGGGACCAGGGAACTTTTAAAAGACCACGATTCAGGGAAAGAGCCCTGAATAACATAGAGTAATAGTCGTCTATTTTTTACCTGTCCATTACCATACTATAAACAGATTAGACATATAATCCATATCCTTTTTTTTGCATACATTCGATTATCCATAAATGCTCGATAATCTGGCAAAAAGGAAATAAAGCTTATCTACGTGTTAATTTGCGAAATAAAACAGTTTTTTGAAAAATTTATTTAAACAAAAGCAAGAATTCTTCAATCTAAACAACCCGGATAAAGAAAAAAAAAGAGAATTTTTTTAAAATGAGCATTTTCTGAGGCTTTTGAGTATCTACCGGTAGTGAAAAGGACAAATTTGAGCTTTGTTTTTGGTTATTTTCTTTCGGTGGAGAGGGATGAGTGAAGAGTTGAGTGAGAGTCGCCCTGAATGGTTTCATGAATGGTTTGATGGGTTTAGAGCTAGAGAAAGAGCTAGAGAAAGGCTTCTAGAGCTAGAGAGAGCCTTCTAGAACTAGAGAAAGCCTTCTAGAGCTAGAGAAAGCCTTCTAGAGCTAGAGAAAGCCTTCTAGAGCTAGAGAAAGCCTTCTAGAGCTAGAGGAAGGGTTCTAGAGCTAGAGAAAGCCTTCTAGAGCTAGAGAAAGCCTTCTAGAGCTAGAGAAAGCCTTCTAGAGCTAGAGGAAGGGTTCTAGAGCTAGAGAAAGCCTTCTAGAGCTAGAGAGAGCCTTCTAGAACTAGAGAAAGCCTTATAGAGCTAGATAAAGGCTTCTAGAGCTAGAGGAAGGGTTCTAGAGCTAGAGAAAGCCTTCTAGAGCTAGAGAAAGCCTTCTAGAGCTAGAGAAAGGGTTCTAGAGCTAGAGAAAGCCTTCTAGAGCTAGAGAAAGCCTTCTAGAGCTAGAGAAAGGGTTCTAGAGCTAGAGAAAGCCTTCTAGAGCTAGAGAGAGCCTTCTAGAACTAGAGAAAGCCTTATAGAGCTAGATAAAGGCTTCTAGAGCTAGAGGAAGGGTTCTAGAGCTAGAGAAAGCCTTCTAGAGCTAGAGAAAGCCTTCTAGAGCTAGAGAAAGCCTTCTAGAGCTAGAGGAAGGGTTCTAGAGCTAGAGAAAGCCTTCTAGAGCTAGAGGAAGGGTTCTAGAGCTAGAGAAAGCCTTCTAGAGCTAGAGAAAGCCTTCTAGAGCTAGAGGAAGGGTTCTAGAGCTAGAGAAAGCCTTCTAGAGCTAGAGAAAGCCTTCTAGAGCTAGAGAAAGCCTTCTAGAGCTAGAGGAAGGGTTCTAGAGCTAGAGAAAGCCTTCTAGAGCTAGAGGAAGGGTTCTAGAGCTAGAGAAAGCCTTCTAGAGCTAGAGAAAGCCTTCTAGAGCTAGAGAAAGCCTTCTAGAGCTAGAGAAAGCCTTCTAGAGCTAGAGGAAGGGTTCTAGAGCTAGAGAAAGCCTTCTAGAGCTAGAGGAAGGGTTCTAGAGCTAGAGAAAGCCTTCTAGAGCTAGAGGAAGGGTTCTAGAGCTAGAGAAAGCCTTCTAGAGCTAGAGGAAGGGTTCTAGAGCTAGAGAAAGCCTTCTAGAGCTAGAGAAAGAGCTAGAGAAAGCCTTCTAGAGCTAGAGAGAGCCTTCTAGAACTAGAGAAAGCCTTCTTGAGCTAGAGAAAGAGCTAGAGAAAGGCTTCTAGATCTAGAGAAAGAGCTAGAGAAAGCCTTCTAGAGCTAGAGAAAGGCTTTAGATCTAAAGAAAAGCTTTATCTAAGCTCTCACCTGAACAACTCGACTCGAGAGTCCGTGTGCTTTTGGAATAAAACGAATTTGACGAGCTCGACAAAAGCCACAACTTCGCGAGCAATCACGACGCATGTAGATGGAAGAGATCTGGATACAGGAATCGTTAAAATAAAGAAAACCTACATTACTAGCTTGCCGATAAAAAAGCTAGCCTACAAAGCTATATTACTAGCTTCCAAAGTACTCAAAAACCGACCCTACAAACATCGGGATTCCCTTGTAACCACGCCGAGCACCACGGCGAACGATCAACGCATTGTTGAAGGTCTAAAGGATAGCCAGCTATTTGAATACAAGATTTCATATTTGAATATGGTTACAATAGGGTTATTGTATGTCTAAAGTAGCCTTGCAACCACGCCGAGCACCACAGGGATCGATCAACGCATTGCTTATCGATCTGTGTGACAAATTCTCGAACTCACTTCCAATCGATTGATCAACGGCTACTGGACGAGGGGTAAATCTGAAAAAACAAAGTTTAGACTCAGATTTGTTAACTAAGGACTATTTTGTAAGTAACTGAAACCAATCCCACAGAATATGAATAACAAAGCGAGTCTGACTTCTCTATCCCTTACAGTCTGGAGAAGCTGGTGAACTGATCCTGACCCTAGTTCTGGTCCTGGCCCTAGCTCTGGTCCTGACCCTAGTTCTGGCCATGGTCCGGATCCTGGTCCTAGTCCCAGGCCTGGTCCTAGTCCTGGTCCTGGTTCTGTTCCTGACCCTGGTCCTGCTTCTGGTTCTAGTCCCGGTTCTGACCCTGGTCCTAGTTCTGACCCCAGTTCTGGTCCTGGTCCGGGTCCTGGTCCTAGTTCTGGTCCTGACCCTGGTCCTGCTTCTGGTTCTAGTCCTGGTTCTGGTCCTAGTCCTAATCCTGGCCTTAGTCCTAGTTCTGGTCCTAGTCCTAGGCCTGGTCCTAGTCCTGGTCCTGGTTCTGTTCCTGACCCTGGTCCTGCTTCTGGTTCTAGTCCCGGTTTTGACCCTGGTCCTGGTTCTGACCCCAGTTCTGGTCCTGGTCCTAGTCCCGGTCCTGGTCCTATTCCTGGTCCCAGTCCTGGTTCTGGTCCTAGTCCTGGTCCTGGTCCTAGTCCTAGGCCTGGTCCTAGTTCTAGTCCTGGTCCTGATCCCGGTCCTATTCCTGGTCCCAGTCCTGGTCCTGGTCCTGGTCCTGGTCCTGAGTCTATAGCTTCGCCTGGTTCAACCGTCCACATTGAGAAAAAGGTTTGAGCCAGAACCAGGGCAGGTTCTGGATCTGATCTGGCTTTGATTTGGATCTGTTTTGGATCTAATTATAGTCCATATCCTTTCCTAGTCCAAACCAGGCCTGGATTAGGTCAATCTCTGGTTCAGATCTAATCTAGGCTTGCAATCAGTCACGATCTTACCCTGTCCTGAGAACACAGTCTAGCTTATTGTCAGGGCTAGTCTGAGCCTAGGCTTTCCCTGGTGAGTTTGATTCTAGCCTTGGCTTAGCCCAAGTCAAGTCTGGTTTGATTTAGGCCCAACCAAAGCGATCAATCCTTTACCTCAACATATTCTGTGCTTTCGACAAGAAAATCGGGAGTCGTCTTTGCCCATCCTGTCCTCCCTCGACGACTCTCATTGGCAACTCGAGAATCCTGCCTGGTATCACCGTCTCCTTCAACTCCTTCCGTAATTGTTGCTGCAGTTGTATGAGTTTCAATCTCTCTTCCTTCTCTTCTTCCTCTCTCTCTTCCTCTCTCTCTTCCTTCTCTTCTTCCTCTCTCTCTTCCTCTCTCTCTTCCTTCTCTTCTTCCTCTCTCTCTTCAGCTCTCCTCCTGGCTTCTTCCTGTATTCTGAGTTGTCTTCTGAGCCATTCCTGTTGTTGACGTAGCTTTGTGAGATTGTTAATGACTAATCTCTTTGGGAAAGTTTGATTTGCTCGAGATTGATTTGCTCGTGAGGGTACTGTAAGTACAGTAAGCTTTGTACTGGGTACAGTAAGCTTTGTACTGGGTACAGTAAGCTTTGTACTGGGTACAGTAATGGGTACAGTAATGGGTATTGGGCTTGTTTTCCACCAGGGTATTGTCGAACTAGTTACGGTACTTCTCCTCCAAGGTACTGTACTTACTGTTGAGGTTTTTACAGTAGGTGCTACAGTCGGCGCTACAGTACTCGTCTTCCACCAGGGTACTGTACCAATTGTACTAATTGTACTTACAGTACTTTGTACTGTAGGCCTTGAGCTCGTCTTCCACCAGGGTACAACAGTGCTTACTGTAGGCTGTACAGTGCCCATTGTTGAGCCTCTTGAGCTTACTGTAGGTGCGACAGTACTCGTTTTCCACCAGGGTACTGTAGGCTGTACTGTACTCGTTCTTTCCGCTCCTTTTGTTTGAAAAATTCTTCGAAAAGCTGTCGGTACAATGGGCTGAGTGGAAAAGCTGCAAATAAAATGAAAATGAATGAAGTGATCTGTGGTCGGTCATAGAAATTGAAAAAAATCTTGTACTGAGATCCAGCTAGAGCTTCAGAGCTCCAGCTAGAGCTTCAGAGATCCAGCTGGAGCCTCGGAGTTCCAGCTGGAGCCTCAGAGTTCCAGCTGGAGCCTCAGAGATCCAGCTGGAGTTCCAGAGATCCAGCTGGAGCCTCAGAGTTCCAGCTGGAGCTCCAGAGATCCAGCTGGAGCCTCAGAGTTCCAGCTGGAGCTCCAGAGATCCAGCAGGAGCTTCAGAGATCCAGCTGGAGTTCCAGAGATCCAGCTGGAGCTTCAGAGATCCAGAGATCCAGAGCTCCAGCTCCAGAGCTCCAGAGCTCCAGAACTAAACTGTAAAACAATTGCTAAACTTCTATGACGTAACACCGATCAGATTGTGAGTGAGAAGCGGCTATGATTAGTAAATAATAGTAACGTACACTCTTCTCGTTGTTGTCTTTTGTGTTGTGCTCGTTTTCCACCATGGTACAGTTGTCGTTGTTGGCGGTGGAGTGGTTGTTGTTGTGATGATCGATGGGGAAACTAGAAATAGACATAGATTCGATTCAAGCCGAATTCAATCAAATCCGATTTCATCCGAATTCAAACAGATTCGCCGAGAAACGAGAAAGCAAAGGTGGAATCAGATTTGGCTTCGAATTATCCTAGTCTACTGTAGACTAGGATTAGTTACGAGACTAGGATTACGGTAGACTGTAGACTATTGTAGTCTACTGTAGACTAGGACTACGGTACGGTCTGTAAACAACTCACGCTCAGGTCTGTTGGCTCTTGCGCGATCGAGTACTGCTTGAACGACGACCTTAATCCCATCCCATGTCTCTTTTCCGGTAGGGATCAATTGACGTGGATCGAGGAGGAAACCGTCCCAAACTAAAGAAATTGGGCTAAAGCAGCTCCAGAGCTCTAGTAGCTCCGACTCCAGAGCTTTAGTAGCTCTAGTAACTCCAGCTCCAAAGCTCTAGTAACTCCAGCTCCAGAGCTTCAGTAGCTCCAACTCCAGAGCTCTAGTAACTCCAGCTCCAGAGCTTCAGTAGCTCCAACTCCAGAGCTCTAGTAACTCCAGCTCCTGAGCTCCAGAGCTCCAGCTGCAGAGATTCAGAGTTCTAGAGCTCCAGCTCCAGAGATTCAGAGTTCCAGAGTTCCAGCTCCTGAGCTCCAGAGTTCCAGCTCCTGAGCTCCAGAGTTCCAGCTCCAGAGCTCCAGAGTTCCAGCTCCAGAGCTCCAGAGTTCCAGAGCTCTATTAGCTCCAACTCCAGAGCTCTATTAGCTCCAACTCCAGAGCTCTATTAGCTCCAACTCCAGAGCTCTATTAGCTCCAGCTCCAGAGCTCTATTAGCTCCAACTCCAGAGCTCTATTAGCTCCAGCTCCAGAGCTCTATTAGCTCCAGCTCCAGAGCTCTATTAGCTCCAACTCCAGAGCTCTATTAGCTCCAACTCCAGAGCTCTATTAGCTCCAGCTCCAGAGCTCTATTAGCTCCAACTCCAGAGCTCTATTAGCTCCAGCTCCAGAGCTCTATTAGCTCCAACTCCAGAGCTCTATTAGCTCCAGCTCCAGAGCTCTATTAGCTCCAGCTCCAGAGCTCTAGTAGCTCTAGCTCCAGAGTTAAGTTACTTAGCTAAATCCTATCCTCGAAGTACAGTACTGGACAATGAAAGATCATATTGAAATATCATTTGAAAAACGATCGTCACTTTCGCGCGTCTGTAACTCCATTGTCTTTGAGTTTGTCTTTGAATTAAACTATTAGTGTTATACATTTTCTGAAAGCTCTTTTCAAGGGCTACACAATGGTAATATTAATATTTACAAATACGGTAAAGACAAGGGAGTTATAGACGCGCGAAAGTGACGATCTCTTTTCAAATATGATATTTGTCATTTTCGAGTAGTGTAGGTAGAGCTAAGAAAGACCATATTAGCTCAGATCCAGGTACGATGAAGTCCAAGTCAAGAATCAGGACCAAGAATCTTGGTCCAGGCCTGGTCCAGGCCTAGTCTCACCCGTAGTTTACTTCTGACTCTGGTTCGCTTCAAAACCAAACCTTCATCAGCTGGTCGCAACTCCAACAAGTAAACGTATTTCACTTTGGCCACTCCCTTCGCCCAGTCGTCCGATCCGCCCGATGACGGGTCTAAATGATGGAAAGATCTACAGTAGATACAGCAATAACTTGCACTAGTAAGTCTTAAGCTTAACTAGCTTTCTTCCTTAGCTTCCTTAGCTTTCCTTAGCTTCCTTTGCTTCCTTAGCTTCCTTAGCTTCCTTAGCTTCCTTAGCTTTCCTAGCTTCCTTAGCTTCCTTAGCTTTCTTTCTGAGCCTTCTTAAGCTTTACTAGCGTAACGTGCTACAGTACAGCTTAATATTGCTTTGAGAAAGCTTACACAAAATATCGGCTCCAGTTCCAAAACGATACGCCGTTCCATAGTCTTTTTCCAACGCTGCGACTCCGTTTAAACCGACTTCTCGCTGAAATTTCGATGTTTTGGAATTATGGTTTACTGGAGTTTTTTTGCTGACTTCAAGATCTAATCCTGATTTTGTTAGATCCAGGGGGAAAACCTGGACCTATTTTAGCCCAGCTAGCTCTACTCTAGCTAGCTCTACTCTAGCTAGCTCTGGAGCGGTTATTTTGAGGTCCGATGTTACGTCGGATCTAGACTGATTCAAGATCGGATTTCTGATCTAGAATCAAGCCAATCACTCTAAATCTAAGTCTAGATCGAACGTCTGGATGAAACGTCTCGATCGAACGTCCTGATCGTCTGGATTAGAGCCTGGATTACAGTGATCGGCTTGATTGAAGAACGGACCATCAAGCCCATCAAACCCATCAAACCCATCAAGTCCATCAAGCCCACAAAATTCCCAAGTACTCACCAAATCTTGCACATCCTCTGGATAGGTTCTCTCCTGATTACTGTAGGGATGGATCCACATCTAGGCTTACAGTAGAGTTATCTAGGATTCATTCAAACCTGTGCATACGTGTGCAATGTGATGAAAGCGTCTGTTTTCCCGTGCAATTCTGGTGACATCAGCATGTCGCGGATGGCTCTGAAATGGCTACTGTACTGTGCCATCTACTGTACTATTGTACATCACTGTACTCTTCTACTAGTGTACATCACTGTACTAGTGCACTAGTGTACATCACTGTACTCTTGTACTAGTGTACAGTACTGTGCTAGTGTACTAGTGTCCATCACTGTACTGCTTGTAAAGATGGGTAGGCTACTATTGTATCCTACCCATCTCTGTACCATACCTCTTGTACTCCTCTACCTACTCCTCTACTTCCTCTACTTCCTCTACTTCCTCTACGCCCTCTACGCCCTCTACCTCTCTACCTCCTCTACCCCCTCTACCTCCTCTACCTCTTCTACCTCCTCTACCTCTTTTACACCTCTATTGCCTCTACCCCTCTACCTCTTCTACCTCTGCTACCCCTCTACTTCCTCTACTGGGGTCTGTGGAGTACAAGAGGTACTATCCCACAGTTGCTATCCTATTCCCTACACCACAGTACTATCTATTACCATCCCTAGATGCGTCCATGAGTCCGTTAATCGTTAACCTATCCAGCGTTAACCTATCGTTAACCTATCGTTAACCTATCGTTAACCTATCCAGCGTTAACCTATCGTTAACCTATCCAACTACTCATCCCTATCCCATACACCTGTATCTTCCTCCTGTACCTTTTACCGTCTCCATTGTAACTCTAAATCTGTACCTATAACTTCATTTGTCTTTTTCGCTGTCTTAACTTCTCTGTCTCTTGTCTGTCTAAACTTGTCGAACTTTCATTTATCAATAAAAATCTTTGTCCCGACAACTCACCGTGATTCTGGTTCACTAAAAGCAGTGTCACCTTGAAAAACTTCAGAGCATCGCTCGGTTGAGGAGCCAGTTTCTGGAAAATAGCAATATAGCAATATCCAGCCCAGCTCTGGATTCGTTTCTCTTTAAAATCTAATTCTTACGCTGAATTAAGTGAAATCCTGCTTTTATTAACATTTCCAAACAGATCTTCTTGATCTTTCGATAGAAAAATAACATTGTTACTTGCTGAGCTTGCTGAGCTCTTGCTGAGCTCTTGCTGAGCTTGCTGAGCTTGCTGAGCTCTTGCTGAGCTTGCTGAGCTCTTGCTGAGCTTGCTGAGCTCTTGCTGAGCTCTTGCTGAGCTCTTGCTGAGCTTGCTGAGCTCTTGCTGAGCTTGCTGAGCTCTTGCTGAGCTTGCTGAGCTCTTGCTGAGCTTGCTGAGCTCTTGCTGAGCTCTTGCTGAGCTCTTGCTGAGCTCTTGCTGAGCTCTTGCTGAGCTTGCTGAGCTCTTGCTGAGCTTGCTGAGCTTGCTGAGCTCTTGCTGAGCTTGCTGAGCTCTTGCTGAGCTTGCTGAGCTCTTGCTGAGCTCTTGCTGAGCTCTTGCTGAGCTTGCTGAGCTCTTGCTGAGCTTGCTGAGCTCTTGCTGAGCTTGCTGAGCTCTTGCTGAGCTTGCTGAGCTCTTGCTGAGCTTGCTGAGCTCTTGCTGAGCTCTTGCTGAGCTCTTGCTGAGCTCTTGCTGAGCTCTTGCTGAGCTCTTGCTGAGCTCTTGCTGAGCTTGCTGAGCTCTTGCTGAGCTTGCTGAGCTCTTGCTGAGCTTGCTGAGCTCTTGCTGAGCTTGCTGAGCTCTTGCTGAGCTTGCTGAGCTCTTGCTGAGCTTGCTGAGCTCTTGCTGAGCTTGCTGAGCTTGCTGAGCATCGTCTCCATTTAACGCCGACTTCTTTAAGCACTCTTTAACCACCAACCAGCCCAATGGAAATCGAAATTCCTATTCAAATCCACGCCTCCACAGCAGCGCTCGCGAAACCATCGCAAATCGAGTTTACACCGAATATCCCCGCGATTCTTTCGCCATAAACGATGCTGAAGAGCTGGTTGATAGAAAGGGTCAAAAAAAGCGAACCGATCACACCAATGGAGTGATGTCGTCACGCGAAAACTCGTAGCCATCCGGATTCGCGAGTGGAAGGATGTAGAAAGAAAGCGAGTCGATGAAAGAACGCGTTGTGGAGTCGATTTCATACGTGGAGATTAGCTGCAATTCGAGATTAGCTTCGAGATTGGCTTCGAGATTAGCTTTGTTGCACTGTGCTTTGCTACATTCATCTAATTCTACAGTATCCTCTAGCTACAGTGCTTACAGTATATGGCTACAGTACTGTACAGTACATGGCTACAGTACTGGACAGTATTGTAGTCAGTACTGTACAGTACATGGCTACAGTACTGGACAGTACATGACTACAGTACTGTACAGTACATGGCTACGGTACTGGACAGTACATGGCTACGGTACTGGACAGTACATGGCTACGGTACTGGACAGTACATGGCTACGGTACTGGACAGTACATGGCTACAATACTGTACAGTATATGGCTACAGTACTGTACAGTACATGGCTACAGTACATGGCTACAATGCTGTACTGTACATGGCTACAGTACTGTACAGTACATGGCTACAGTACATGACTACAGTACTGTACAGTCCATGGCTACAGTACTGTACAGTACATGGCTACAGTACTGTACGAAAAGTTCCTAACAAACGACTGCCTTATTATCAAAGTGTCAAGTGTTATAGAGGAAATTGTAGCGCTGGATCTTGGCTACATTTATGTTATAAAAGTTTCCCGATTGGACTCATACAACTCATTTTACAAGCTCTTGAATGAGCAGTACTGTATAGTACATGGCTACAGTACTGTACACTACATGGCTACAATACTGTACAGTACATGGCTACAGTACTCAAGATCCATTAACCTAAAGTACCGATTGCTGTACAGTACATGGCCTAAGCCAAAGCCTAAGCTACAACCGCTACCAGTACACTAACAATACCTGATGAATGAACCAGAGTGCTGTGTGAACGGCTGCCCATTCTCTTGCGTGGATCCCGCCATCAATCCAAATCACACGTTTGTCTGTGGAGGAGATTGGGTTACCGATCTGGAAATTGAATTTGTACAGTCTGGATTAGATTAGATCAGTCTGAGACCGATCTAATCTAATCCAGACTTGATCTAAACCAGATTCAAGCTGGATTTGGATTCAAGCTTGGCTTGGCTTTATCTGGATCACGAATCCTGACTCCTGATCCCGAATTGACCCTGCTGATCTGATCGTGTTAGACTTGACCCTGTTCAAGATGTCTTTGCCCTGATTTAGCCTGATATCCTGTAGTGTACTGCTCCTGTACTGCTGGTCAATCCTGCTTGTGAAGCCAGCTTACTAGTCGCACTTGTCTAACCCGGTTCCTAACCAAATCATCTTAACCCTGAATGAATCCAGTCTTTAATTCACCAATTACCTTGATCCCCTTCAATGGTCTTCCCTCAGCCGATTTCCCAGCGATGAAAGTCTTCGCAATGTTTGGATATCCCCTCTCGACATCATCCAGATATTTCATGATCGTCTCGTAGCTATGATAGTCACCAAAACCGTACTGAAAATGGTCAGATGTTTGGTAAGTGCTGTAGCTAGTACTGTACTGTACTGTACTGTACTATAGCTAGTACTGTACTGTAGCTGATCCTGTACTGTAGCTAGTACTGTACTGTAGCTAGTACTGTACTGTACTGTACTGTACTGTACTATAGCTAGTACTGTACTATAGCTAGTACTGTACTATAGCTAGTACTGTACTGTAGCTGATCCTGTACTGTAGCTAGTACTGTACTGTGTATGGCACGGTACTGTAGTTAGTACTGTAGCTAGTACTGTACTGTACTGTACTGTACTATAGCTAGTACTGTACTATAGCTAGTACTATACTATTGCTAGCACTGTACTATTGCTAGCACTGTACTGTAGCTAGTACTGTACTGTAGCTCAAAATCGAACCTTTGCCTTTAGCCCAGAGTCATCTTTGAACCTTTTGAAGATTGCCTTGAAGAGTTGATTGCTTTCACCAAAACGGGAAAGCCATGAGGACTGTTTTGGGGCCTCTCGTTCAATGATCAATCTGTATGATTACTGTAAGTACGACAGGGTTAAAGAGCAGGATTAAAACGGAAAGCCGATTGGGAGAGAGAGAAATTCTGCTTTGGATTCTCTATGGCTTTTCTTTGACGATATTGGTCAATGGCTTTTCTTTGACCACATTTGTCAATGGCTTATCTGATTTGATCAAATTCTACTCTATCAAATCAAAGAAATCTTTCTCTTCTCAATTTCTAATGGTTTCTAATGGTTCTAATGGTTCAAATGAAGCGTTCTAGGTTCTAATGAAGCGTTCTAGGTTCTATTGAAGCGTTCTAGGTTCAAATGAAGCGTTCTAGGTTCTAATGAAGCGTTCTAGGTTCTATTGAAGCGTTCTAGGTTCAAATGAAGCGTTCTAGGTTCAAATGAAGCGTTCTAGGTTCAAATGAAGCGTTCTAAGCTCTAATGAAGCGTTCTAGGTTCAAATGAAGCGTTCTAGGTTCTAATGAAGCGTTCTAGGTTCTATTGAAGCGTTCTAGGTTCAAATGAAGCGTTCTAGGTTCTAATGAAGCGTTCTAGGTTCTATTGAAGCGTTCTAGGTTCAAATGAAGCGTTCTAGGTTCAAATGAAGCGTTCTAGGTTCAAATGAAGCGTTCTAAGCTCTAATGAAGCGTTCTAGGTTCTAATGAAGCGTTCTAGGTTCAAATGAAGCGTTCTAGGTTCAAATGAAGCGTTCTAAGCTCTAATGAAGCGTTCTAGGTTCTAATGAAGCGTTCTAGGTTCAAATGAAGCGTTCTAGGTTCAAATGAAGCGTTCTAGGTTCAAATGAAGCGTTCTAGGTTCTATTGAAGCGTTCTAGGTTCTATTGAAGCGTTCTAGGTTCAAATGAAGCGTTCTAGGTTCTAATGAAGCGTTCTAGGTTCTAATGAAGCGTTCAAAGCTCTACTGAAGTGATCTCCTTTCTCAAACCGCACTTCTGCACATCGGGAATGGTAATCTTCCAATTGGCTCCCGTTTGATTCAACGTTTTCGCAAGAAACATTGCTCGACTTTCTTTCACCATTATGTCCGCGAATTGGTGAAAACCGGTGGCCGATTTCCAGAAGTCCAACTAAAATTTGTGATTTGATCAATTTGTTTTTGATTGCTCACTTTGGTTTTGTTTGCCACTGATAACTGATTTTTGAAGAATTTTGCTCAAAAATCAAGCCCAACCTTTTGCCAATGTTTGCCTGAGCCAAAGCCTGAGCCAATATTTGCCTGAGCCTGAGTTAAGTCAATGTTTACCTGAGCCTGAGCCAAGCCAATGTTTGCCTGAGTCAAAGCCTGAGCCAATGTTTGCCTGAGCCTGAGCTAAGGCAATGTTTGCCTGAGCCTGAGCCAAGCCAATGTTTGCCTGAGCCTGAGCTAAGCCAATATTTGCCTGAGCCTGAGCTAAGCCAATATTTGCCTGAGCCTAAGCTAAGGCAATGTTTGCCTGAGCCAAAGCCTGAGCCAAAGCCTGAGCCAAAGCCTGAGCCAAAGCCTGAGCCAAAGCCTGAGCCAAAGCCTGAGCCAAAGCCTGAGCCAAAGCCTGAGCCAAAGCCTGAGCCAAAGCCTGAGCCAAAGCCAAAGCCTGAGCCAAAGCCTGAGCCAAAGCCTGAGCCAAAGCCTGAGCCAAAGCCTGAGCCAAAGCCTGAGCCAAAGCCTGAGCCAAAGCCAAAGCCTGAGCCAAAGCCTGAGCCAAAGCCTGAGCCAAAGCCTGAGCCAAAGCCTGAGCCAAAGCCTGAGCCAAAGCCTGAGCCAAAGCCAAAGCCTGAGCCAAAGCCTGAGCCAAAGCCTGAGCCAAAGCCTGAGCCAAAGCCTGAGCCAAAGCCTGAGCCAAAGCCAAAGCCTGAGCCAAAGCCTGAGCCAAAGCCTGAGCCAAAGCCTGAGCCAAAGCCTGAGCCAATATTTACCTGAGCCTGAGCTAAGCCAATGTTTGCCTGAGTCAAAGCCTGAGCCAATGTGTGCCTGAGGCATTCTGATAGACTGGATTCGCGCAAGAAATGTTAGCTGCATTCGAGAGCTATTAAAAAGCTCAAAAAAACCTTTATATTTACTCTTTTGATTTCAATTCTTTTGATTTCTGAAAGAGAACTCATAGGGAATAAAAAAAGAGTTTTTTAGAAATCTAGATTCTACTACTATTTATTTAGATTCTACTACTATTTACTTTTTAGATACTACTCTGGAACTACCTGTTGCCTTATATACTTCTTGACAATATATACCGAATAACAATACCTCGTACTCGTGCGATTTCATATAAAGTCTGTTGAGAGCGTCAAGTTGTTGGCTGGTGTTGGGGAAAATGCGAAAAACGAGGTGTTTCCTGAAAATTTTAGGTTTTAGCCAAGGTTTTAACCGCAAAAAATGGCTTAAAATGAGTTTTTGCTTTTTTATTGTTATTTAATGATGTCATATGGTTCCAATATGGTTCCTTTCAGGAATTTGATTCCAATATGGTTCCAATATGGCTCCTTTCAGGAATTTGGCTCCAATATGGTTCCTTTCAGGAATTTGATTCCAATATGGTTCCTTCCGGGAAATTCTTTCCAATATGGCATTTATTAATGTCATTTAATGTCAATTTAATGTAAGATAGTCTTGAAATTCTCAATTTCTTTAGTCTTGGACAAGCCTGTAGAAGAGCTTAGCCAGAAAGCTTAGCACTAGAAGCTCTAGAAAAAGATTGCTCTAGTCAACTAGAGCAAAGCAATAGAGCTTCTAGAGCTTCTAGAGCTTCTAGAGCTTCTAGAGCTTCTAGAGCTTCTAGAGCTTCTAGAGCTTCTAGAGCTTCTAGAGCTTCTAGAGCTTCTAGCGCTGTTTCTAGGGCTTCTAGAGCTTCTAGAGCTTCTAGAGCTTCTAGAGCTTCTAGAGCTTCTAGAGCTTCTAGAGCTTCTAGAGCTTCTGGCGCTGTTTCTGGGGCTTCTAGAGCTTCTGGAGCTTCTGGAGCTTCTGGAGCTTCTAGAGCTTCTGGAGCTTCTGGAGCTTCTGGCGCTGTTTCTAGGGCTTCTAGAGCTTCTAGAGCTTCTAGAGCTTCTAGAGCTTCTAGAGCTTCTAGAGCTTCTAGAGCTTCTAGAGCTTCTAGAGCTTCTAGAGCTTCTAGCGCTGTTTCTAGGGCTTCTAGAGCTTCTAGAGCTTCTAGAGCTTCTAGAGCTAAGTCTAAGTTTGAAGCTGTGCTAGGCTTTGAATTTCTGAAAATCTATCCAAAAATCTATCCAAAAATCCAATAAATTCTTCAATTTACTCATAATTTGTCGGCGGATTGGCGAATTTCTCTTCTCGATTCAACGCGGTAATTGTTTGAAGAGTGAAGAGGAGAAATAGAAGGCTCATTTCTAGAGAAACGCCCATTTCTAAAGTATCAAATAAAATAAAGAAAATTGAGAAGAAAAGACTCGGAAATCTCATAAAGAATATCTCAAGAAATCCATAGAAATAAAAAATTTTTCCGATTTCCAAAAAACGGATAAACTGATATTTTTGAGAGAAAAATGGGGAAAACGGAAATATTTTGAAAAAAGAAAGTTGGAATGGTCACGTTGGACTGGAACTTGGAATTTTTGAGAGAAAAACTCTTTCTAGTGGACTTTGTGCTTGAAAATTTGGCTCTTCCGTAGTTTCCGGGGATTTTGAACGGCTGCTCACACTTTAGAGGCCTATAACTTTGTCCAGAGATTATATTTTTGCTAACTTTTTAGATCATTGTACAGATGAAATTTCAGGCTTTCAAATGATACAAAATAGAGGTTGATTCGACTTTTCATTCCAATACAAACAAGGCAAAAAGACACCCGAGTTGGAAACGAATGGGGAACGAATGGGAAACGAAGGGGAAACGAATGGGAAACGAAGGGGAAACGAATGGGGAACGAAGGGGAAACGAAGGGGAAACGAAGGGGAAACGAATTGGAAACGAATCGGCCTCAAATAGAAACCGAAATGGGACCAAATCTGATTCGAAATGGAAACAAATCGGCTCAAAATGGGTCGTCACACTTTAGAGGCCTATAACTTTGTCCAGAGATTATATTTTTGCTAACTTTTTAGATCATTGTACAGAGGAGATTTCAGTCTTTCAAATGATACCAAATAGAGGTCGATTCGACTTTTCATTCCAATACAAACAAGGCAAAAAGACACCCGAGTTGGAAACGAATGGGAAACGAATGGGAAACGAAGGGGAAACGAAGGGGAAACGAATGGGGAAACGAATGGGAAACAAATTGGACCTAAATGGAAACCGAATGCGAACCGAACCGGAACCGAAGTCGAACCGAAAGGAAAACAAGACAAAAAGATACCCGAATCGGAAACGAATGGGAAGAGAATCGGAAGAGAATCGGAACCGAATGCGAACCGAAACGGAACCGAAACGGAACCGAAAGGAGAACAAATCCGCCCTAAATGGGAACCAAATCGACCCTAAATGGGAACCGAATGGGAACCAAATCGGAACCGAAAGGGAAACAAATGAAACAAACAAAAAATTTGTCGTAAATTTGCAGATTTCCATGAACTTTCCTTAAAATAGCCATATTTCCCTAAATTTACCGTAGAATTTGCCCTAGATGTTGTCCTAGATGTTGTCCTAGAATTTCTCCTAGATGTTGTCCTAGATGTTGTCCTGGATGTTGTCCTGGTTTTTGCCCTAGATGTTGTCCTAGATGTTGCCCTAGAATTTCTCCTAGATGTTGTCCTAGATGTTGTCCTAGATGTTGTCCTGGATGTTGTCCTGGTTTTTGCCCTAGATGTTGTCCTAGATGTTGTCCTAGAATTTCTCCTAGATGTTGCCCTAGAATTTCTCCTAGAGCCTGAGCCTAAATTTGCCCTAAACTTGCCACAAAATTGTGATCAATCCATAAATTTGCCTTAAACTTTCCATAAAATTGTCATTAATCCATAAATTTCCCTTCAAATTCCCCTAAATTCCCTTCAAATTCCCCTAAATTCCCTTCAAATTCCCCTAAATTCCCTTCAAATTCCCCTAAATTTACAAATTACTCTTAAGAATTATCAACTTTATAAAAAAAATGAGTCGAAAACGAAATAGCTTTCCGGAAAAAGCAGAACTTTTCACAGAAAAGCTTTTCCAAATCGAAAACGATTGAGATCTATGTTTTTGAAAGAAAAATGAACGAACAAAAAAAACTCGATTGGCATGCCGAAATTGGAGAGAGAAAAGAAAGGAGAACGGTGAAAAGGATCGGATTTTTTAAAAAAAATGAGATTTAGAGAGATTTAGATTGAGATTTTGAGATTTTCCATACCTAGAATCCATTGAAATCTTCGATGGATTCATTCAACAGAAAGAATAGAAAGAAAAGAAAGAATAGAAAGAACAGAAAGAAAAGAGAGAACAGGACAGAAAAGAAAGAACAGAAAGAACAGAAAGAAAAGAAAGAACAGAAAGAACAGAAAGAAAAGAAAGAACAGAAAGAAAAGAGAGAACAGAACAGAAAAAATTAGATTGCAGTAATAGAGTACCGGCCGTATTGATATCTAAGGCTGAGCTGGCTGAGCTAAGCCTGTTCCTGATCGGCCTGGCCTTGATGCTTACCCTGGAGCCTGCTGCTTACCCTGGAGCCTGGTCCTTACCCTGGAACCTGCTGCTTACCCTGAAGCTTGATGCTTACCCTGAAGCCTGGTCCTTACCCTGGAACCTGCTGCTTACCCTGGAACCTGCTGCTTACCCTGGAACCTGCTGCTTACCCTGGAGCCTGATGCTTACCCTGTAGCCTGGTCCTTACCCTGGAACCTGCTGCTTACCCTGGAACCTGCTGCTTACCCTGGAGCCTGAGGCTTACCCTGGAACCTGCTGCTTACCCTGGAGCCTGAGGCTTACCCTGGAACCTGCTGCTTACCCTGGAGCCTGAGGCTTACCCTGGAACCTGCTGCTTACCCTGGAGCCTGAGGCTTACCCTGTAGCCTGGTCCTTACCCTGGAACCTGCTGCTTACCCTGGAGCCTGAGGCTTACCCTGGAGCCTGATGCTTACCCTTGAACCTCAACTAAATATCAGTCAGCTCTCTAAATCAAGGTTTTAAGCAGAATTTGAGTTATTTGAATGAAAACGATACGATTTTCTTGCTGTGAAAACCTGTAGTTTTGAGTAAATCAAATAAAAGATGAACGATTGATTTGACAGGGGAAAACTGAGTGGAAAATTGAGATGAAAAGACGCTAAACCAGTCAGTGAAAGATTTGGATAAAGATTTGGCATAGATTTGGAATAGATTTGGAATAGATTTGGCATTGATTTGGAATAGATTTTCTCTTGGAAATTGCTTTTTATTTGGCTTTTTACTTGGCTTTATTCTTTGCTTTATTCTTGGCTTTACATCAAACTAAAGTTCAAGTTCTAGAAAAGTCTAGAAGCTGAGTTCGACTTCGACTTCGACTTCGACACTTCTAAAAGTTGACCAAAGCCAGTCTAGCTAGTCACAAAGCTAGTCAGTTCAAGGTAGAGCATTTCCTTTCCATCTTAGTGCATTAGAAAGAGTACATTTGCAAGTTTTCAAGGCATACGAGAAAAATCGAGTACGGCAGTACGAGAAAAAGCTGAATCCAAGAGTTGAAAAAGTGAAAAATGCGATAATGAAACAAGGAAAAGTTTAAAATGTTCAAAAGGTCGTAAAAACATTTTCTTTCACTTGAATGCCATCCAGGATGAGGGAAATGTCAAAGAGAATTTAGGGGATATTGAGAAAAAGAGCCAATTTCGGTGTCGATCTCATTTTCTTTTGATGTCCGCTCACTTGGCATTGCTTTTTTTTCCGTTTTTATCGTAGACTTTCCTTTTTTTTTGGGGGGAAAATCTTCGCAAATGAGAAAACGAACGGAGAAATTCGTCTCTAATTCGTTTCTAATGATTTAGAGAAGAAAAATCTTCTTTAAATTCTTTTGACAAGTCGAAGATTTACAAAAAATGAAAAGAAAAACGAGAAAGAAAATCGTGTGCCAGATAAAAGACGTTTTGGTGAGTACATATCTATTTAAATAGCTATTTAAATATCTATTTAAATAACTATTTAAATATCTATTTAAATATCTATTTAAATAACTATTTAATCAAGCAAACTCAAAGCAATCAAACTCAAGATTACATTCATCATTTTCTTGTATCTATTAGGTTGTCAAGTTATAAATGCGCGTTTTTAAGGTAACAACTCGTTACCGTATTTACTCTATTAGTGGGGTCCCCCACTATTTTTTCAATCCCCTTCCAGACGACCCCACTATTAGAGAGGACCCCACTATTAGAGAAATTTAAAAGAACATAAAACCAAAGTTTTAAATTGAAAAGATATCAATTTTTCTCCGAAATTCTTGACAAAACAAGTTTGGCTTCATATTTTATTTAGCTTTAACCGTAACAAAACATTAACAAACAGTAAAAGAACTAATCCAAGAGATCAACAATTGATGTATCACTTTCGTTACCAATATCTTCTTCCAATTCGAGAGGACCCCACTATTTTTTCAACCCCCCTCCAGACGACCCCACTATTAGAGAGGACCCCACTATTAGAGAGGACCCCACTAATAGAGTAAATACGGTATTTTAAAACCAACAGTTTAACAGCTCAATCAACAATATATTCACCATTTGTTAACAATATTTGTTTCCATCTTCCATGCAAAGAATGAATTCCGTCGGCGTAAAAATTGGCTTGTTTTAAGGCAAAGAGGTCGGCCAACCATTTTTCGACCTCTTGAACATCTTTGAACCAGTCAAATGGTTTCGCATTGAGCGAAATAAATGGTAATTCGAAAGGGAAATATCCGGAGAATATGGCGGATGCGGAAGAGTTTCTCAGCCCAACTCTTCGAGTTTTTCCTGAACAATCTTTGCAACATGTGGACGGGCGTTATCTTGAATGAACTTTATGTTTAAAGGATCAAGGCCTTTTTGTAGCAATACACTGTTCACTCCTTCCAGTTGTTGTGCATACGTTTCACCCGTCATTGTACGTCCGGGTTTAAGCAGCTCAAAATAAACAATGCCTTGGGAATTCCACCAGACAGTAAGCATTACTTTCTTGCCATGGAAGTCGGGTTTTGGTGTTGGTATTGGCTCCTCACCAGGTTCTAGCCATTGCCGTTTTCATGTAGAATTATCATATTGAATCCATTTTTCATCGCAAGTAAGGATTTCATCGTAAAACCCAGTATTTTTTGCCAAACGAAGAAGAATACCCGCCATAGGGACACGAGTAGCTTTATTGGCATTGCTGAGAAGATGAGGAACCCATTTCCCTTGTCGGCTTGTTTTCCCCAATTGATTTAAATGCTCGGAAATTGTTTGAGGGCTTACTCTAAATATTTCTGCAAGTT